TGGAATTTAAAAACAAATAGTAATAGTTGTTAATAATTGTCTGTGGCTCATTATTTTCAAAGGGGGGTTCTAAGTTTTGGTGCGACGGCTGGAGTATATAGTGTGTCCGTAATGTTACGCATAATTTTGTTAGAATTTCAGGTTTTTGTTTCAAAAAAAAAGTTTGTGCCCGTCGATTTTTTATTCAATATTAAGGTAGTTTGATATTATAGATAGTTTAGAAAAAGTTAAGATAAAAATAAACCATTCCCCTCTAATTAATCAAATTGATCGATTATTCAGTTGAATTTAGGTATATGATCTACACATGAATTTTAACTTGAACCCAAAAGTATCTAGTATAAGGGTAGGTATAAAAAAATAACTTATGATGGAATGCCTGGATTTTTATCAAATTTATTGAAAAAATTAGGAAGTAAGTAACTAACAATATCCTCATCTGTTAAGTTTTTTAATTTATCGAAAAGGAGTTTGGGGAATACAGCCTTTACACAATTAAAAAAGTTGCACAAACGCATTTAAAGTTAAAAGCTAAGAAACTATTCTGAATCGGAACTTGATTCATCAATTAAAGATATATCAGGAAAATTTAAAGAAAAATAAGGGTCTACAGTATTATCGGTATTATTGAAAAAACGATTTTTGTGGCTTGCCACGGCTAGAACCTGGTTGCGGCTTTAGATTCACAGCGTTTTTTGAAAAGGATGCAATTTCAAAATACGTTTTGTTTTCTAACCATTCTGCATGTCTTCTTTCGAAATTACTGGGAGTTCGATTGCATTCTTTCCACCACCTCAACTTTCATACAAAAAAAAGTTATTTTTTCTTGCAGTTGTTGGTCTAGATCATTGGAAAAGTTTTCCAAATTAAGTAGGACTTTTTTTTTCGATATTATTTGACTGATTTTATTATCTTTATTAGCAGCCCATTTTTCAAATAAGGTTTTGTTCTGAATTGCAGGTAACGTATCTAGAAAAAAATATATTTTTGGAAAACGGGCACTCTAGGGCAAAAAATGGTAATGGGAACGTAAACTAGGATAATTTTACAAGTGATATACAAAAAATGACAGGTATATTAGGGTATATATTTTTTTAAAGCCTGCTTAAAGTTTAAACTTATTGTTTTTTTTAAATCTATGTTTCAATAGTGAAAATTAAATATAAAAAAATTATATAATATTTCACATTAGTTCTTACCTTTGTTGTTAACCTGCATTATAAACAAAAAATATTAAGTTATTTCTACTCCAAGAAAACACCAACACAGATAAAGTCTGTATTTATCTGAATAAATCGATAGCAATCTATACAAGCTCCAGCTAGTCATGTTTTTTTGCAGGGATTTTTTAAATACTTACTTTAGAAGCGATAAGGTATATATTTATTGTTTTTTAAAGAATGTGGCTAAAAACATTAATTTGGTATTTTGAATTTTGTCCATTATACGCAACACTGTGCGGCGGTTTCTACTCTTTCGTCCATTTCATGTTCATTGTTTTTTTAAACTAACAAAATAGATTCGTGTAAAAACTCTAACAGATATTAGGGTTCGAACACACTGACGACCAGGTCGCACCGGCCAGGCCGCTGCTACCTCTGACACCATTAAATCAAATGATACCGCGCACATTAACGTCCTGGCCGTCCGTTGGTCGTTGCGACCAGTAGACTGCACTAAAATATTATTTTCTGCCGCTTGTTGCCGGTTTTCTTCCAAATTAATAATTTTTCAAATGAAATCCCTCAAATTCAACTCACAATATTTTATTTTCTATAAGATATAGTGTTTTAGTGTAGTTTTTGCACACATGCAGAAAATCCAAAGAAATAGTATACAGACTGGATCAAAGGGAAACTTATATCTAGTCTCTTTTTTTATCAAGGGTCGATTCTAGTAAAAATTCAAAACATTTTTATATGACATACCTACTCTATTTATGGTTGGTATGATACCTGTTATTATAACTTTGAGTTTCGATGTTCAACAATAAAAAATAATAATATTTAAAGTTTTTCTACAACCACTTGTTTTTTTTATTAAATTAGTTTTTTTAGTTGTATTGTAGTCATGTACAAGGAGGGCAAACTGTATTTTAAATATTATATTTAATTTAACGTTTTTCAAACAGGGTTCATTATATTTCACTATATTTCTACTAGGTACATTATTTTTTAAAAAAAACTAAGAGCAAAAGTAACTTAAACATTCATAAAAATAGAAGTAATTACTGTTGTAGATTCTCAGTAACAATAAAAAAGAGGAATTTATATTGTAAACATTAGTCTTTGAAATAACTATATTTAGAATATTTAGAGCCAGTGTCTGACGACCTTTTTTAAGATGGCCCTAATATGTTTACTTCTAAAGTCGATAAGAGTCATCAGTAGAAGTCCATATCAGTAGAAAAAAGAAACAGAATACTCCCTTTTTGTCGGTCGCGCGTACAAAATGCTTTTTGTTCGGCCTATTTGTTCTGCTTGTTCGTGCGCGCTCGGTTCGTTCGGGCTAAAATGCTCAAGTTTAGACGCACCTCTAGGAACAATACTGTTTTTGTCCTTTATTGATATAATGCTGAAAATCTCTCGAGATACATGTCTCACTCTACACATATTAAATTACATAGACGTAGAATGTAGAATATTCTGTTATGAAAAGACTGATGGAATTTGAAAAACATGGAAATAACGGGGTTGGAGATTTTACTTGCTCCATTTACCACACCAGTATTTATTAACGAATTTTACTTAGTCGGGGTTGGAGATTTTACTGACTCCATTTACCACACCAGTATTTATTATCGAAAAATCCAAGAATATTTTTAATGCATTATTTAATATTAGAACATTTAATAAGCTCATGAATAGCAACTTCGCTTTTTAGTTAACTCGGATATTTTAACATTTCTGAAACAATATTTTCTAATTGGTAAAACGTAAAAAATCGTTACATCTGACAACTCTGTTGAAACTGGTCGTTCATTTGGCCGCAGCTATAAACGCAATGCATCCGGCCAGCCGACGGCCGTTGCGACCTGGTCATCAGTGAGTTAAAGCCCTTACGTATGAAAACGTGAAAACGTCAAATCAAAAAGGTTTACATAAAAATCCCTCTTATTTTCTATTAAATAATAATTTCCTGAATGTTTTTGCCCTTATTCATTTATGCCATGAATATTTTTAACGTTAACAGTAAGTATATGTATATATTTAAAGAAAACTGTAGGTTAAGTAAATAATTAGCATTTAATTATCTCAATTCATACCTTTAAATACAATACTACTTGTTAATATTTTATCTAGAAATTTCACATTCACTATTCTATCTGATTCTATCTACCTCTTCCATAACCTGTAATAAAATATCAATAATATTATATCAATACCATCGTTAAAACTTTTTTTTACCTATTTTAACTGTTATTTGCCTTCTTTATGGATTATTTTTATCGAATTTCATCGACTTTTATTTAGATCTTCGACGATTTACAAATTGCACATTGATGAGATTGACGTTCATTTGACGCACGAGCATGTATGCCACAGAATCAGAATATACTTGATGTATGCGTCAAATAAAGAAGAGTAGTGTTGTCCGATATTTTCGAGTGAATTTCTTCAACGGATCATGTTAAAAACCTTTCATATTCCTTCAACTTCACAAAAAAATCCAAATCTTGTAAAAAATCACTAAATTTCGTGTATTTTCGTGTACTTATTTTATAAGGAGAAAATTTTTAAAAACTTATTTCTGGTAATTTTGGTACACTGATGTATTTATATAATTTTTTTATTAAAAAATAACATTATCAAAAATGCTGTGATAGATACTCGACAGCAGTATTATAAAGTATATCTCAAAAAATTAATTTCTTACAATGGCTGCTTCATACAGCTTCAATCTAAAATAATTAATCAAGACAACTTGATCAGCTGACTTATTAGATATTTATGTTTTCCGTTTACATATTTATTTCTTTTCAACGTCAAGAGCTTTGGTTTAGTTATGGTATGTGTGTAATAAAACGTGTTGAAAGATAAAAATGTATCTATTATTTTTTTTTGTTTAATGTTAAAATCTTTCGAACTGTGGGCTTTTTGAATTACTTTTAACTTCATCCTTAATTAAACACCGTTAAAGTGAAAAAATAAATGTAGGATATAACAATAAATACTCCTACTACATATTTTAACAATTTTTATTGTGCAAAGTTGCCAGAAACCTTCATATTGTCTTCTTTTTGGATAAAAATCCTTCACGAAATTTGACTGTATTGTTCATATTGAAGGAAATCCTGCAATTCTGGCAACACTGGTTCTGTCATAATTCTAAACAAAGTGCAACCCTTTATTTAAATGGAATGAAAATTAAATGGAATTTAAAGCGAATTTCAATGAATTTCAATCATTAATTTAAGTATTTTCCAGATGGAATTTGTACAAACTGATTTTACATATATATGTTTTAGGTAAAAATGTATAAATATTTAAATTATACCCTACACGTGCAAGGACCTTATTAGAGAAAATGAGTATTTTATGCGTTGGCCGCAGAACGACTGGCGGCTCCACCGTACAGCACTTGAGACGTAAGGAGAAATCAAATCAGCCTTGGAGAATTTTGGTTTTTCGGGTTATTAGGCCGTCGTCGGTTAAAATTGCTTCCTAACGTTTCGCTAGGATGAATGGCTAGCATCTTCAGAGGTGTGTTTGCTCCGACTGCTCACACTAAACTGATGTCAGTGTGAGCAGTCGGAGCAAACACACCTCTGAAGATGCTAGCCACTCGTGCTAGCGAAACGTTAGGAAGCAATTCTAACTGACGACGGCCTAATAACCCGACAAACCAAAATTCTTCAAACGATGGCCGCGAAAGCCTAAACTACTACACAAATCAGCCTTGTCACGAATTCGCTCATTAGGTTGTGTATCTTCCCAATTCTTTCAATCAACAAACTTGCATTGTATTAGTAAATACTATAATAATACGTTATTATTAAGGTTCGAAAAACCACAAGAATCTCCTAGATGAAGCAGAAGCATCATTCACTAATAATTTAGCAGCGTCTGCATCAAGAGGAAACTCTAAAGTGAAGACAACGCAAGAACTGCTAGCAAGCATTCAAAATAAAAACTCCGTACTAGTGGGTGCAGGTTTGAAACCAAAGGAAGATTTAGAAGAAAAAGCTGCCAAACTAACGGAACGCGTATCTATTATAGATCAAAAGCTCAATGCCAATACCCATAGGAATAAGTATTCTCAAAAAAGTATGAAATTTTTAATAGATTCCTAGTTTTTGGACCTAATTTAATAATTTGTTATAGATAAATTCAATGTTTCTAGTAATTCTCGCAATGAGAAAGTATTAGAAAGTGGATCAGTCATTAATGACAAGAGCTTAATTAATAAATTAAAAGAAGAATATGATGAAGAAATAGTGGTTGTAGATGACATTGCGCCAGATTCAGATAGTAACTTCGAAAATAAAATAGAAAATAGAGAGTCTGAAACAACTTTACATGAAAACGTTGTGAAGTAAGTATATTTTATTTATAGTTCATATCAAATAAACGTTTAGTCACGTGATTAAGCTTGACCGGCACAGCATTCTCCTCTTTTACATATTTTCTTTTAATGAAAATATTTTAGGAAATGTTAGAAAATAAATAAATGTGGCAACTTCACATTTTTTACAACACAGCTACCACCTGTATCCCCAGCGATTCCAGTTAGTCAGCCTGGCGCCGAACATGTCCATGGTTGGCAACAATGTATTTAAAAATCGCGCCCTCGATTACGTAACTAAAAGTTTAATTGGTATCAAATATACATTGAAACTATTAGCACAGAATATCTAGCTACGCAACAGAAGCCTCGTTACATGTATAAAATCGTAGGTCTCAAAAGGAGACAGGCTTTTAAAGCCTGTCTCCAAATCAGATATTTTGATGCGGTAGTTTCGCTACTACATAATAGAGGGCGATAAATTTAAAAGAAAACAGTTTTCTACAAACGAAATTTAAAAGATGTTTATGCAGTGTTGCCATTGTGTAATTTATATTGTAATACTTCCTGACAAAGCCTACCTTCAAATTTGCTACATCATTTAAACATATTAAAATAGATCAGAGCTCTTTTTTCAAACGTTTAAGTATTTAACTTGCCATGTTAGTTAGAGTTAAATCTTAAGAGCTGAATTAAAATCACTTCCTAACGTTTGATTCTAACTAAATACTGAATTTTGATTGTAATTCAGCGACAATATAATAAGTATATTGTTCTACGTTCTACTATTATGACACCACTTCCTGACGTTCGATTGTGTTCATATCGTATGATCGGGAAAAAACGGTGTTAGCGATGGCTATGAAATGAAAATCGCTGTCATTTTATGTGTAAATTTATATGGGAAATGTCATCGATCGTCTTTTCCCAGCCAACTGGACGCCGTTTTTTTCTGTATCATACGGTATTTGATATATACTTGCGTATTTTTCATGATATTGCAATATTATGCTACCATGAAGCATATCAAGTGATACCGTAATATAGTACCATATTACGATACATGGCGTTCGATTGGACTTAATCTTGGTATATTACGTATCTTCAGTAACATTGTAATATTATGGTACAATGGAGCATATAAAGTGGTACCTTCTATAGTACCATATTATGATACCACTTCCCGACGTTCATTTGGGCTCATATTTGATATATACTTGCATATTTTTGATGACATTGCAATATTATGGTACCATGAAGCATATCAAGAGGTACCATAATAGTACCATATACGATACCATTTCCTGGCGTGCGATTGGACTTATACTTGGTAGTATAATCGGTGACATTGTAATATGATGGTACTATGATGCATATAAAGTGGTACCTTAATATAGTACCATATTACGATACCACTTCCTGACGTTCGATTGGACTCATATTTGATTATACTTGCGTATTTTTGATGACATTGCAATATTATTGTATCATGAAGCATATTAAGGGGTGCCATAATGTAGTACCATATTACGATACCATTTCCTGGCGTTCGATTGAGCTTAAACTTTGTATACTACGTATTTTCGGTCACATCTTAATATGATGGTACCATGGAGCATATAAAGTGGTACCTTCTATAGTACCATATTATGATACCACTTCCTGACGTTCGATTGGGCTCATATTTGAATATACTTGCATATTTTTGATGACATTGCAATATTATGGTACCATGAAGCATATCAAGAGGTACCATAATAGTACCATATACGATACCATTTCCTGGCGTTCGATTGGGCTTAACTTGGTATACTACGTATCTTCGATGATATTGCAATATTATGAAGCATCGAGTGGTACCATAATATAGTACAATATTATGATATCATTTTCTGGAGTTCGATTGGGCCCAAATTTGATATATGTACTTGCGTTTCTTTATAAATATTTGTTTAATTAATAATTTTAATTTATTTTACGAAGTTTAATTTATTGTACGATGTCGTCACAGCAACTTTTATGCCGAACTAATATATTATTAATTGTACCTGTGTCACTTTTTAAAATATACCTAGGTCTATATAAATAACCTGGCAAACAGAAAAAAATTGTTATTATCAAAGATATTTAAGCTCGAGTTTAAATATCTTTGGTTATTATAGTATTTTTTTAGTCAATTAACATTTTTTGTACTGCATTTTAATAAATTATTTCCATTATTATTAAACGTATATTTCATTACTAACGTTTCAGCATTAATAAATATCACTATCAAACGCCCTGTATATTATTAATTTTAAAGTTATTTTCTTAGTGAACATAATAAAGTAGTGTATATTAAAAATGTATTTTGAGAGCATATGCTTTCTAATAATATACTTAAACTTAACACTATTTTAAAAGCCAAACGAATAATTAATATAAGTGTATCTGACAAGAAACGAAGAATAGAAAGAAATTATTATACACCAGAAAAAGAATGGGATGCCAATTAAAGTCTTTTTGAATCTGGCAACTGTGCATATTTAGCGGAGCTTCAAGACCGTCGACGTGCAGTCGATCTACGTCGATCCAAAACCGAAAGTTGAAAATTTCCAATTATATTCTGATTATGACATTGTCGCGCCATCTAGTATTTTATTTGTGCAATTTTAGCTCTTTCATTTCTAGTATTTTTCTGTTGCGTAGCTAGATATTCTGTGCTATTAGCCTTTAAAAGTATTAAAATATAACGATAAAATGGGTATTTATGTTTATTAAAATTTAAAAAGAACTGTGCCATATAGAAAAAAATTGAGATTTGTTTGTATGGCATTAACCAAATCGAGTTTTTAAGTTTTATTTAAGCGTTTTCATATATAGGGTGTCCAAACAGCTCTGCACTGGCATTACAGTAAACTACTATATTTTTTGGTTATTGACAAATTTCAAAATAAAAAAAGATATTTAGTGCATTTAACATCTCTGCAAATTTTTTCCACATAGAGCAATTAACAGAAAAATCAAATGCATTACTCTTAATATCAATGGAATGACCCGTGTAGCGATTTTTCACAATCGGTCAGCATTAGAAAATTTGCTTGGTGTGTTGAGCCACTGTTTAAATCAAGTTTTAAGGTTTTTACTTCATTATACTTTACATTCTTTTCAAATAGTCGATGTGAATAGTATGTAGAATGTAGAATGTTTAGAAGGGGAGTTAATCACCGCGACCTTATAGATCTATTGTGTGTTCCCCTTTCTTGAGTTATAACGAGTTATAACTCATCACACAGTCTCAGGGCTTTAAGAAAAGCCAGTATCTGAGACGGCTCCACAGAGGCCAGCTCTCCATCCTCGACATCAGACGTGCCAAGGTTCATGGCACGAATGGTCGTCGTCTCGGCGCACTCAGTGATAAGGTGTTCTGGTGTTTCCCCATTTTCCCCACAAAATCTGCATTCGCCGTTGTTTCTCAGTTTCAGCCTACTGAGGTGTTCGTTGAGGAGACAGTGTCCTGTTAGAAACCACGTGACAATCCGAAGATTGTTTTTACTTAAATCAAGGAAAACCTTTGATTTTTCTCGGTCATAAGTTCTAAGGAACTTTTTCGAGTGTCTTAGACCGTTGGAGGACACCCATTCCAAGTTACGGATGGAGTCTTCCAGATTCTTCGGTTCCGCTTTCAGTTGGTTCCCGTTTGGAAAACAGAACGGTTCTGGTCCAGTTAGTGGAGTGTTCGCTCCTTTCCTAGCTAGATCATTTGCTTTTTCATTGCCTTCTATCCCTTGGTGAGCAGGCACCCAGAGTAGGAGGACTTTATTTTCTTTGCCTAATTTGTTGAGCTTCTCTAGGCATTCTTTGACCAACTTCGAATTGATGGTTACTGAGTTGATCGCGTTAAGTGCTGCTTGACTATCGGATAGGATGGCAATTTCCTGTTTTCGATAGTTCCTATCCAAGATAAATTGTACGCATCTTTCGATAGCGCAAATTTCTGCCTGAAGGATACTGGGGTAGGTGCCCATTGGTTCGGAGTATTCAGTTTTCGGCCCAAATACTCCTATCCCTGTCCCTGCTTTGGTTTTGGAAGCATCAGTATACCACGTGATGGTATGGTCTTTTATATGCTGAGTAAGCGTTTCTTTCTTCCAATCCTTTTTATTACTCAATACTACAGTGAGGTGTTTCTCAAAGTTGTAAATTCTTGGTATGTCATCCACTGGGAGTTGGAGAAGTGGAATTTTCTTTTTGAGGGTGTTCCAAGCCCCTGACCTGAAAATTCTCCCAGTACTGTTTCCGTCAATGACCATTCTAATCATTGTCGCATTGGCATAACTACCGACGACAATATGCAGTGGTGTTAGGTCTAGAATGACCTCCATTGCTGCTGTTGGACATGTTCTCATGGCACCTGTGATGCAGATACATGCCAGTCTCTGTACTTTGCACAGGGTTTGCCTTGCTGTACGTTGCTCTAGTTTTGTATACCAAGCAACTGCTCCATAAGTAATCATGGGTCTTACTATCATGGTATACATCCAGCGCAAAATGTTAGGGGCGCAGCCCCACCTATTTCCCGCCAGTCTTCTGCATATCATGAGAGCCTTTGTGGCTTTGCTGGTAATGTTCTTAATATGCCTGTTCCAGAGAAGTTTACTATCCAGGGTTATTCCCAGATATTTCACTTCCTGTGATGGCAGTATTTCCTTTCCATCTAGATGGATTCTTTTCAAGTTTTTCAAACTTCGCTTTCTGGTGAATGGCACTACTGCGGTTTTATCTGAGTTAATACTCAGCCCGACAGTCCTGCACCATCTCTCAGCGATGCGGAATCCTCTTTGGATAATATCACACAGGGTGCCTTCATGTTTCCCCTGTGCAATGATGACTATGTCATCTGCGTACCCTATGCAGTGTATTCCCGCTAGAGTTAATTCTTCCAGTAGTTCATCCACTACCAAGCTCCACAGTAGGGGGGAGGTCACTCCACCTTGTGGAGTTCCTTGCGTTGTTTTAACAACTACAGTTTTGGTACCTATCTCAGCCTCTGCTGTTCGTGTTGAGAGCATTTCCAAAACCAGCGAATTATCGTACTGTTCGCCCCTCTTGTTTCAAGAGATCGCTTGACCACCTTGTGAGGTATATTGTCAAACGCCCCTGCAATGTCCAAGAAGGCACAAAGTGCTGTTTCTTTGCTATCCAGGCTTGCCTGTATTAGCTCAGTTAACTGGTACAGAGCAGTTTCTGTGGATCTGCCCGCTCTATATGCATGCTGACTATCGTGCAGTGGCTTAACCTGTAGATGATTTACTCTAATATGGTTGTCCACTACTTTCTCCATCGTTTTTATGTGAATAGTATAGAATACATAATCATTAGCGATTGATTTTGAAATAAATATTTTTTGTTTCTTTCACGGTGAGAGGAAAGAACTTGAAGTTCTCTTTCATTCCCAATTAAATTGGCTACCTCCCAACTACATCCATTGACCAAGACCATGGCCCTTAAACACACCCCACTCCACTATCCACCCCCCCCCTCTAGCCTCCTCTAGCCTCTGTTTACGTAAAAGTTGTTTTTTTAAATTAATTTCCATTAGGTAACTAATATTCTGTTTAACAAAAGAATATGTGACATTGGCTGGTTATTGTATGTCATTTTAATTCATAATTATTTTTTTGTCAATTTTTGTCGCCTGTGAAACTTATAGATAAATGAAACAAGTTTAAATTGGAAAGTGTCCATAAGGCCAATGTAAATACTATTTGGAGCTATTCTTGCAACGGTCGCGACCCAAAACTTTTGATAATTTCAGAGCGGTTCGGCTTTTTCCGGAATTATGTTGCCAAGTATTATTTATTTAAATTTATTATTAATTTTTTAATTTTATAAACAAAATACAGTGTTGCATACAAGAAACTTTATTTTATATAAGGACATGTATGAAATATTTATGAAACATAGGCAACCGACGTTATACCACGATCCACGATGGTTTTTGCAGTTCATAATTCACAGCACAGCTTTTTAAGTTTTTAATGCCACTTTTTCACAATTATCACGGGTTTGAGTAAATAAAATTTAAATTAAACTAACAAGATAGCAATAATTACTTTGAAAATGGACACTTTAAACACTTTTCGGTATTTTTTCAATGAGGATGGTTAAGATTTTATAATTTTTAAAGATTCTTACTTTGACAAGAGAAAATTATTTCTGTTCTTGCTTGCGGTTGTTCTTAGCAACCGCTATAGCAGCGCCAGATCGCGTACAACGGTCGCAACCCAAAAATTTATATATTTTGACAGGCATTCCAATCTAAATTTATTTCCTTTATCTATGGTGAAACTCTCGACTTTACTAAAATTTGTCCAAGGAGTCGGAAGATTTCGACCAACACATTCAGAAGATATAAAAAATACAGTTTAACCCTTTAATTGTAACTGTGAATTAAAATGTCAGACAATAACACTATCTATTCAACTTAATACATTATGCCGGATTCAACTGTCAGAATGTTTGGAATCAATCCAAGAACGCTTCATTTGCAATTTTTATTGTTTTTTAAGATAGTAGACCAACCAATATTGTCTCGCCAATATAACCAAATCAATTTCGATAAAAAATTTAAAAAATATATTTGGCTCTGCCCTGTGTCACGAAAAATATTTTCTGAATCTACACATACTTCAATTTTGTAAAATATAAAAGTTTCAATCAGTATAGATTTTAATCAGTTTTCTTTTAAAGGTCTTTGAGTATAGAGGAAGCAACATCGCTGTTACCACCTATAGACAAATCAATTTTATTGGAGGATGATAGCTCACAACCACCTTGTACTTGCTTTATTAAAGAAAACAAACTGGACTTCTCAGTGGACGACGAAGATGTCGAACAGCCTCCGCCTTATGAAATAATAGAGGACCCAGAATGTGCTGCTAAATGTTACCTGGCCAACAAATATAAAACATTTGATATTTCAAATGAGAAAGTAAATCACTTACATGACAATAACATTCCTAATGTTAATGGTAACTATAGCATAGGATCTTCAAAACCAGAGCCACAAGTCAGGAACGGCTTGTATGTAAACATAGTGCCTAATATATATGAGAGGTTAGAAAGGGATGTAAGAAATTTTAATGGTGAAACTTTTAAAAAATATAGTGTATCAAAAGAAACCGACGACGGTGTTAGTGTGATAAATGATAAAATAGATGAAAAAAATAAATGGATAAGAGAGAATAGTGAGGAAAAAAGTGATATTTGTGAGAGTCGGACAGAAGACAAAAAAGTTTTTCGAGAGTGGTATGAGTGTTTAGATAAACCTAGTTATAATGGGGATATTTTAAGAATTTTGCCATATTGCATTGTAGACTAGAGGTATTACAATTTAATTAGGGGACCATTTTGATTGCCTTCCAGTTGGACTCATGAATCCTCGTTTTTTAATATTCCAGAAATGTTTCTAATATGCAGTTAAAAATAGTTATATTGAAATGTATATCTGATTCCTCTTTCTTACTTTTAAACTATTTTTTATTTATAAAAATACTATATTATTTAGATCATTTATCTAATACAGTGTGTCAAAAAATTTGCAACAATTGGGAAAATTTGTCATTTTTTTTGTTATGTGCGGAAGAAATTCTACATAATTCAGTAACACAAAAATAAATTCAATGTTTCGAATTTTTTGGCAGACCCTGTACTATATTATTTAGGTGATTTGTTTAATATTAAATCACTTAAGATTTACGAATAATTTCTTAAGTAGAACCAAAAAAAATGTTACTTAAATGGAAAATGGCCTATGAGTCCAGTTGTAGGTGTTACTTCCTTATATATGCAAATCGAATCAAGGCAAAAATAGGTCCCAGCGTTAAAAATTAACTAGTCTATACATCTACTGATTAACACAAAAATGTTTAAATATAGTGTTGATTAAAGCAAGTGCCCTGCAAGTAAATTTCATGTTAGGTAATATTTTATCCCGCCAAATGATGTCTTTCTAGTCTCAAATAGATGTTTTACTTATTGCTTAATTTCACTTTGATGCTCTTGTAAGGTATTTTTTGTTCGAATACAATATTATACATTTTATAATCTTGTTCAGTTGTTTTAAATTATAATATACCGGGTGCGTCTGAAAAGTAGCTCACCCCTACAACTTTATTTTCCATATAAAAAATCGAGATTTGGTATGTTAGTATATAACATAAATTAGGATTGATTGACATATTCAATTGTTTTTGGTCACTTCCTGTTTCACCGAAAATGACTACAACTTTTGATTTTTAAATGGCACCTTTATTTGATACAAAATTACATTCTGAATAGAATGGCATATCATATGTCAACTTTTGACATTTTTGATCAATAAAAATTGGTATTTTAAATTTCATTCTAGAGTGCCATGGCTATGTTAAAAACACTAATTGTTAATCAAGGAGCCTTGGAAAAATAGATTTGATCATCTAATGTTTTTAGTGTCTTCTATTGGCCGGTTAAAAAATGCCCAAATCATATTTTTAATCATATCTAATTTTTTTTTCAAATGGAACGGGTGGCTCATTAGCATATTTTGAAAATGCATTTTTTTACAAATAATTTGATACAACACACGTGGTATTTCGAGTCAAATTTTCATTACAAACCATAAGTTATAATTTCATATAAACCATATGTGAAAATGTCAAAAGTTGACATAATATGATATGTCATTCTATTAAGAGTGTTATTTTCTATTGAATAAAGTAAAAAAATACCGAGGTGCCATTTAAAAATCAAAAGTTGTAGTAATTTCCGGTGAAACAGGAAGTGACCGAAAACAAATGAATACGTCAATCAATCATAATTTATGTCATATACTAACATACCAAATCTCGTTTTTTTATCTGAAAAAATAAAAAGTTACAGGGGCGAGCCACTTTTGTGACGCACCCGGTATAAATTTTGCAATAAATGGGACCCCCGCATACCCATTAGCAAAAAATTAATAATTTTAACGTAAGCAACAACTGTCATGACGCCAAATTTCAAAAGGGAGGTTAGGTGGCAAAATTTTGAAAAAATACAAAGATTAAAGTTGTTCAGAATTTGAATTCTTTGTCCACGTGTGTCAAGTTTCATAAATAAGCACAAGGAGTTTGAAACATTAAATTTTTTATATTCTTTTCAGAGATTTCAAAAATCGTGATTTTTCTTAAAAATTGCATAAACTAAATCCAACAAGAATAATATCAAATAAAGTGTCTGTATCTTTATGATACCTACATAGACATAAAATCTATTTCTGAACAACTTTTTTCTTCAACATTTTTCGATTTTTTGTCACCTAACCCAACTTTTTACAGATGGATTAAGATCTTTGTAATGCTGGATTCAGAGTTCCGTAGTAGCCGTAAGAAACGAACAAATTTTAATTCTTAAGTTACATCTAATCGAATCGGGTGTTGTCGGTTAGGCTCGGTTGTACTCGGTAGCCATTTCCACAATTTTTATAATATATTTCACTTCGGCAATGAAAATCGTATTGTCCGCGTCCATTTTAGTTCAATCAAATTAATATTAACAAAATAAATAAGGAGTAACTATAAAGCTGGATTTATAAACTCGGAAGTTGGCGTTCAGTTGAGGTTCAGTTGCAGTTGGATGTTCGCGGCAGTTGAGGTTCAATATTTTTGCATTTATAAACTGTCAGTTTCGGTTGTAGGTTAGGTTTGGAATTGTGAAAATTTCGAACGTTTTTCTTTCGATTTAAAAATACTTCTGGTATTTGTCAAAGTTCAAACACAGTAATCCACGATTACGCAAAATATAAACATCACATTAACAGAAATAATGAAACAACAATAAGGGTCATTTTCCAATGCATCGGCGTACTGTGCTTCACGTGATCGACAGGCGCTTATTCATTGGCTGTCGCCGAACGTCGCCAGCGGTCGCCAACTGCCCGCAACTGCCGACATAAACATTGACCATCTTTGAACTCCGCTGAACGTAAAACGAACTGCCAACTTTTCGACCAACTGACTTTATAAATGCGCGCGTTCATTTCATATCGTTGAACATTTTGAACGGCAACTGAACCTCAACTCCCGAGTTTATAAATCCAGCTTAATAGTTTTATTCACCAGCCAAACAACAACATAACCTATTAAAAACGGTAATGCGCGCGCTTTCGATTAACTTATAGTTCCGTCTTACGACAACTCTGAATCCCAAGAACGGTAAACTAATAGGATTGTTCATCCTCATAAGTACGTTCGCCTCTTCCCGCGCTTCAGCTGACAGTTGTGACGTCATTGTAGCCCTTGTCAAAGCCTTCGTGGCCTTGTCATGATAGTGTGTATTATTAGTTGCCTATGGTAAACTTATAAAAATAACAGCTGAGAAATTTTGAGTTAATTATTTTGTCAATTTTAAATGTGAAAAAGGTGTCTTTAAAGTTTTTAGAGCTATAGAGTGTATAAATACGTTCATATTATGTTTTGGATTGTGACAAACTGCATACTAAGTGCCCACGATTTTGTTTATTAATTATTTTAAAGCAAAATATGGAAGTACTCTAAAAAGAATGCTTGCAAAAGATGATGCTGGGAACTGCTGTTCTTAAAAATGCATTATCCGAGTATTTAATACGATTTATACAGTTAATTTTCTATACTGCATACATATAAGGTGTTTAAATAAATAAACTAAATAATGAACGTTTTGCATTCGGTAACCAATAATGCACGTGTGTGTATTTTTGGTTGCCGGATAAGGACTAATAACCATGACAAGGGCTACAATGACATCACAAAGCGAGTAGTTTTGGCATGCACCTGGCGGACACTTGGCTGAATGAGCAGTCCTATTAGGTTAACTGTTCTTGTCTGAATCCAGCATAATTTTAAGTCATTAATTTTAATCAGGAGTCATTACTGTTATATTAATTTATAGTGAAAAAAATTTTTTTTTGGTTTTTGGATATGCTGATATTTTGGTAGTATATGTATGATAAAAACTAAAATTCCATATAATCTTTTTCAGTAATTCAATTATTAATAAATTTCCCATTTGTTACGAACTTTTGACGCACCCCGTATTCACGCTAGTGGGTATATTTTAGTTTAACTATACAGCAAAATAAAAAACACTAAATCACCACAATACACCAAAACACTTTTACTTCTACACTGGACGCGCGTTTCGCTAACCATGTTAGCATCATCAGCAGATGATTATAAACTTAAAAAAAAACTACTTTAGTTTATAATCATCTGCTGATGATGCTAACATGGTTAGCGAAACGCGCGTCCAGTGTAGAAATAAAAGTGTTTTGGTGTATTGTGGTGATTTAGTGTTTTTTATTTTGCTGTGTAACACCAAAGGTTCCAACCCTGAACTGTAATTAACTATACAGGGTGAGTCTTAAATAAGTGCAAGTATTTTCAGGGATGGAATATGTTGACCTCAGGAACACATCTATGAGGTTTTTTTTCGCAAAAAAAAATGTTGAAAATCGTGCATTTTCTTTTAAATTTCCCTGTATATTTTTCGAAAACTTGGTAAAAAGTGGCTTGGTGATTTTTGAAAAATGGTAAAGAGAAAATGTTTCTTTTATCGAGATCTACCAGCCCTGAAAATATTTGCACTTATTTAAGAACCCTGTATATAAAATATCTTTTAATGTCACTTGGTGATTTTTTTTTATTGTTATGCTCAAATCTCTTCTGTTAATTTAATGAAAATACTTGATATGCTAACTTTTATAATGTTGCCTAAAATATAAAAAAAATGTTGCCTACTTTTTCCTTCTCGAGTCGCTGGTTCCAAACAAAACCGTGCGAATTAACACCTCATTCATAGTAAGTTCATATCACATGAAGTGCTGTTATTTATTAAGTTTGACTCTAAAGCACATTAATATATCTTAAAATACTTCCTGATTATCAAATACTAAATGAATACAAACTATGTTTTAATAATTATTTTTATCTATAAATTTCAATATACTTATTATTTATTTTGAACAGATTTCTAGCTGTTTTTTTTAGTAGGAATTATACTATTGTGGAGGGCCTTACCTGTTTGTAAAAAAAACAAACAACTTTAATTGATTAGTAGTTTTAGATGAAAATGTCTGAACCCATTTAATAAATATCTAGACAAAAACTCAGTAAAAATTATTTTAAAATAGAATTGTGTTTGGAAAGACATTTATGTCAATTTTTAATAAATGGGGGGGGCGGTCGGTTTTTTATCGATTAACATTTCTACGTCGACCTTGACTGTTTATTTTCGATCATCCGATATTTAAAACAAAAGAAATTACATAATGTGTCTTATAGGGTTCAACTTACACAAATATTTAATCATTTAACATCTTTGTTATCATGTTTAATGTTTTATTAGTACTGTTATGAAAGTTTTGTTGGGCTGTATTTAAAAGTTTCTGAATTTTTAATTTTAATTAACATTAATTGAATGTCTTAAAATACCATTCATATACTGTTATTTTTTTGTAATTAAAAAAGTAGTTCCAAAAAATAAAAATTTATATTTGTATCAAATAAATTATAAGTAAAATGTATTTAGAGAGTTGAATATATTTTATTATTAAACTCTTTATTATTATAAAATTTAATAATTATCAATTTTATCAAATTAGCTAAAAATAAACCCCTTAGTTGATTTTGCGTCGTCCTTAACATTGTAGCAGGGTAAAAAACCTATATATTTATAGAAAATATTTTTATATCTTTTAATTCACGTTTTTTTGTTTATCTAATACTAGCACAAGTGGTTATTAAGAGTGAATTATGTCGATTTAATGTAATGCTTTTCCAAATCTTTCTAAAAATGTGACAATTTTTTATGTTATATAAAATCTTCATAGTTTTTTATATTTATTTGTTATACCAAATCTTTTTTCTCATTCATTAGTGAAATAATTTAAGTAGGTGTATTTATTTTATTTTGTTATATACTTATTTATAAAGCTCTTGACACTTTAACACTTTATTTGTTATTTTGAGGACTGGTCATTAAAAATTTTAAACATTACCGATACCGATTTTTAATGATAGTTTGCTCATACTTGTTTCATTTCTCAAGATATGTATATTTAATTCTTATAAGTAGTTATGATGGAATTCTTTAACTGTTTTTGTCCAAGATCTTAGATTAAGATTTTTTTGATCCCTAGTATATAG